GTAAAATTTTATACGATTATATGGTATTGATTTTACATAATTTTAAATTTCGAGCCATTGGTCCGCCTTATATACTTTCAGCAAGTAGAGATTTCGATAACGGGCGCAATGTGCACTCCACTGATAATGTGTGCCGTAGATATTATATCCACGGGCTCATTCTTCGTTTTTCGTTTCGTAGGATGCACGAAACCCTTATGATATATTTTTCTTTGTCCGTTTTAACGACCAAAATTCAATACATATACCTATTGTATTATTTTGTGCCGGCGCCATTCGAACCGTCCACCAAAAGATAAATGAAAATAATCCGGAGACGGTTTTAACCTAACACACTATACAAATACACAAATACTGCACCAGCTGCCCTGCATCCTTCAGACACATACCCGAACCAATCCGTACAATATATTAACAACGATAAAAAAACAACCTATCGTTCAAAAGAATAGCGTTTTTGCTTTTACCAGACTCTGGTGACCAGTTACATATAGCTACAGATTCGGTTTTTTTTTCAATGGGCGTCAGTCGTTTCCACAAAAAAAAACTCGATTTTCGTTTCCAACAAATATCGTTCTCGCCAGAATGAAAAAAGTTCGATTTTAAATTCCGCTAAATCTATTTCTACCTACATTGTTGATAGAGAGTTTGAGAACAACTATCTATAACCAGTGGCGTATATCGAAATTAATTCTGGGGAAGGGGGTTGCTGCGTAAAGGTAGAAACTACACCGAAAATTAAAAAACGAATTACTTACTTAATTAACTAAATTGACAAAAAAAGTCTTTTGGCATTTTTTTATTCGAGCAATATTTCTGTTAGAAAACATAATGCGTACAAATTTAAAATAATTAAATCACAATGTTGTAAATTTGTTAGTTTTCATTTTATATATTCTTTCGGTTTTTTCCAATTACAATGATTTCAATTTATTTTTATACACATGACCATTTGGTTTGATTAAATTAGATTTTTAGTTTTAAAATAAGGTTTCTTCTAAATCAATAAGGTTGATAACTTATACCTCAATATAATTAATGTGTTTCAACGTTTCAAGTATTATAAAAAAAAAGAACTGATACTGTAGTCGAGTGCAGCCACTGTTGCAGGAGAGAAGATGGGAAAGTAAGATATAAAAAGTGCATAAAATTGTTTAATTTATATCTATACACAAAGATAAACCATTGCTAACGAAACACAATTTGGAGTGAAGTTAGATTGTTCAGTTTCGAAATACCATATTTTTACGATTCCCGTTAAAATTTGATTTTAAAATGCTTACAAAAAAAAAACTGATGCATAAAACTTAAAATTATTTTTAAACCATTAAGTACAACATAAAGTGTACCTTATGTTACATTTTCAAGCAGTTCTCTTAAGTCATATTAAGTCATTTTAATAATTAATACCTACCAAATAAAAATACGTACAAAAACACAAAATATAAAACACCTACCCGCAAATAGCATAAAAGTAGTTGAAATGTTTATGAAAATTTTAACACATCTATGTAAAATCTATATTTTCTGAAAACTTCAGGTGTTTACAATAATGTATAACCGAATAACAACAAAAAACCCAAATGCTATAAACTTTGCCGTACTTCCTACGTTTTTTCGTAATTATTAAGAAAACTATAAGGAAAACCAAACAATTTTCTTATTCACAAATTAAATAAAATTATCTTTCTAAGGTACAACTCGCCTGATACCGTACTATTAACAATATTATCTATCATATGCCTATAATACCTTCTAATACTATTGCAAAATATCAAAGAAGAGACGTCACCCGTAACTGTAGGTATCAGATTTTTGTTATGTGTTTTAGAGACTTTTTGTTCTGTGATGCTTTGTTTTGAAATTTTTTTTGGATTCGCAACAGATTATCTAAATAAATTTAAAACATTTGACACCATGACGAAACATACGTCTTCTGATTTTTAGGTTATCTTTACTATACATGGAAATAAAAACATGATCAACACCTTAACAAATAACTTAACTCTACTCAAAATCTTTTTAACTGTAATAATATATCGTTGCTATTTGTATAAAAAATAAATTACCTTATTTCCAATGCCTTCGGAATTTCTAACTTATTGATTTTATAATAGCAGAATATATTAGCGCTATCTGTGAGCTAAGTGGTTAGTTACTAAAAACAAGGTTTGTAATTTTCTACTTCACATTATTCTTGATTCTTATTATGTTATTATTCTTGAACTTTCTCTCTACATTCTTCTTAGACTACTACAAAAGAATGGATGACTGGAAAAAACAACAAGAACGGCTAGGAACAGGTCAGAATAAATTAAGAAAACTTCAAAAAATTTGTGAAAATCAATGTTTATCTCGGGAGAAACCATCAAAATAGATTTTTCGAAAGTAATGACAGTTTATATTCAATTGTTTAAGTGCTCTTAATTATATGACTATAAAATTTAAGTAAATTTGATCCGAAATCTTTGTCAAAGGCCTCGCTTCTAATGGACAATTTATGCAATTTCAAAATCATATATACAGCTCATAAATTTTTAAAAGTATTTATTACTCTTAACTACAATCTATTTACCAATTAAAAATTAGCCTTTCAGAGAGATTTACAAATAAATACAAGTTTAATTGTTTATATGCAGTATCTTTTACCAAAGCATTTTAAGCATTTATAATCAGATAATTTTCCGGAATCTGTGTTAAAGAAATTATCTACTTTTTCATCAGTAAAATTAGATCATTAGGTAAATAGATAGATTTAGTAGTTACACTAGTTGTTAATTGCTGAATCAAAACATTTTGCAAGTATTTACAATAATGTTATACAATCATTAAACGTAAAATCCAGTGGTAAAATATACGATAGCAATGATGACAATATCTAATGATGACGATGATGATGGGAGTAATGATAATTTATGCAAATTTACAAATATCAACCGGAAAGATAAACTTTAAACTGTTATAACTCAAAAACGGTAAATCTGATATTAGTGTGATGCATATCAAAATTTCTAGAAAAATATTCTCTGTTCAAATCAGTGTTAAAAAGGGGGTGGGGTTCCTATTGGAAAATCAAAAGTATGCGCTTATTTAAGATATTTAAAGTAGGGGCAACAAATTAAAAATGGTTTTGAAATAAAGCTTAAACGATTCCATAATGATTAGAAAAAAACGAAAATCAAATTCACTTAAAATCCTCTGAGATAATTGCTGGTTCATGATAAAAAGAATCATCCTGTAAACCCTGGACCAGTGGCGTTCTCAGGAATATCGATAGTCCAAGTATGATGTTAAGTACGCAACGAATAATACCGATTATTTAATAGATAAGGAATCATGACTATCAAGTTCCGCAACCAGTCGTGACTCGTGATGCACGGTAAGTGGCAGCAATGATACAAGGAAAATCTTCTCTATAATCTTCTTAACCTTAATTACCTATAGCTAAAAAGTCCACCTAAACTATACTAAGCCCATCAATATTATTCAAGTTCGAAATAATCCATCGAAGAATATTTTCGTAAAAAAAAAAATGCAACAATTTTGTATACCTATGGAATTCGAATCCTGTACAGCAAGATTCGAACTCAAAAATTTGTTCACTGTACCACAACAATCTATGGTGACGCCTAGATACACGGGATGCTTAGTGTTCTGCAATATTTTTCCTGGCCATTCTATATTAAAACATTTCTTGGCGTCACAATTTCGTATAGGTTGAAGCAAAACACCTGAGGAATGTGTTTAGTATGAGTATACCGTGTTTCTTCAGACACAGAATATACATCTGGATAAAGCTAATCGAACCGCTGAGGGCTTTGAAATATAATTAAAAACTAAGATTAAATGATAAAAGTGAATTTAAAATTATATTTGATAATGTAAAATCTAAATATAATGCCTTAAACATTTAAATAACTATTCTTCGTGTAGCTAACAAACAAAAAAAAAACAGATGCAATGTGCAGGTTAATTTGTTTGAAGGTTATAAAATACAGTATATCTTCATTTATTCTATTTGAATATCATTTCTTAAATTAATTAAATCAATTTTAGTTCACAAATCTATAATTAAAAATTTTAACTTTATTTTATCATTATCCACTATATATTTCACAAAAAAAAAAAAGTTAATTAGCTATAGTTAGAATGCATCAAGATAATTCAGATTACAGTGTGTTAACAGCTGTGAGTGAAATTAAAATGTGGCAACAAAAATTTGCAGGAACTCAAGATTTACCAAAAAATGTTATAAATCAATTTTCCTTTCTACTTTTAAATTTCTTCAGATTTTAGCGGTCCTCCCAGTTCAACTGCTAGCAGTAAACAATTTTTTTTCAAAATTAAAACATTAAAAATATATTTGCTAAAACAACATGTGTGAAAGTAGATTGAAGAATGGCCAGAATAAAATTAATGATAAGTAAAATTTTTATTTAAAAATAAATAATACCTACCTAATTGATGATAATAAAAATAGGTACTTACCTACTCAAGTATTCTACCTATAAATATTTATATTATAATAATCACCTTTTATCTTAGTACGTAAATTATTCTCAATAAACATTGAGCATTACTTCATTAAACATTTAAAAAACTGTTATCACATCACTTGATTTTATTAACCATTACCATTCCTCCATAAGCTGTCACTGATGTAGCCTTGTTAGCCTTGAGTACCCTTTGCCTTAATTCCATACCTATATGTTTGTTTTGTCAATTTCAAAAATGACTCTACAGTTTGATTATGAACCTCCGTTACCAAATCAATGATATTTTCATTATAGTTATCAATTATGTCATTATGATAATATATATTTTTATAAATTATACTAATTTTGAAAAATGTAGGTACTTAGTACTACTAAATTATCAAAATATATTAATTATTCATACTTCAGTAGTTATTAATTTTGTCAATATGCTAAATGCTTGTAGCCTGTGAGTATAAGAAATTTGTACGTAGCATACTTAACCAAAAAATGTTACATATAGATAGTATACTTAACGAGTATCTAAAAATAATTGATAAAGAAATCTATACCTACTTGGTATCAGTACAGAGATAATTTGGAAATAAACATAATTAGCAATAATAATATTGTAATCCATTTACGAAAAGGCTTATATAAACGAGTATATAAATATATTAGTTACAACAAACAATAGTAATCGTCAGTAACAAAAATACAATATACGAAAACATGTTTTTTAAGGACGGTAAAATAATTAAGATAAAAATGTTAAATTCTTATAAATAATGACATTCATAAGCAATTTCTTCCATAGAATGGTTGGATCCATTCAATTCAAATTCAAAATTAACATATTTGGAGGATAATAGTGAAAACATAATAAATCTAAAAAGTAGTTAACGTATAATATTGATAATTAAAACTTTCATATAACATGGAGAAATTAATGTTACAGCTGGTTGTATAGAAAGGTTAATAATAATAACAAGTACCTATACTGCCCTCCTAGTGAAACAAATAGTATCTCTAACAAATTGAATTGTTAGAAAATTAGTTTTTCTATTTATCATTTTTACACCCTTTTTTTGCACTTAGTTTATTATTTTTCATTTTTAAAAAGATTTTGAATATGTATTGAGAAATATGAATTAGTTTACTAATAAAATAAGTAGTATCTCCATCATTGTACATACTTTATCATTGTTTTATTCTTTAGAACAAGCTACATACATGTGTATACTGTGTATTTCTCTAATATTTAACAATATTTTGGTTGACATGACATTTTAAAGGCATTTCTAGTGGAGTTAAAGTATTTTTCCTAAGGAAATACAAAAACATAGAATTATCTAAGTACACCAAATATGAAATAACCTCAAGTTTGAAAATTGGGTTTTTATTGCTTGTTTTATTAGAAGGGCAGTATACTACAATAATTATTCTAATAGTTAAAAGAATGAGAGTGGTTTCCAGAAATATCTATCCAAAGGTGGGCAATTGTTTTGTTTTCTTAATTCTAAAGCATTTGGTAAAAGATCTTCAATATAATTGATTCGTGTTCTGATAGATGGATGAGTAGATAACCACCATATTGCATTTTTATCATTCGGATCTATCTTTTCCATTTTTTTCCAAAATTGTAGAGCTTGTCGAATGTCTATACATGCGTTTGCTGCTAGCATCAGACCATACTTGTCTGCTTCGATTTCTTGGTCACGTTCATAAGGCAATAACATAGTTATATTTTTTAAATAATGACCTAAAAGAAAACCTAAAATGGCATCTGGTACAGGAAATAATGCCCAAATTAAGGTCACTGGTATCAGCCATAGCATTTCAAGTAAATGTTCTCGGCTTAAACGTATAACATGATGATTAAGTAAACAATGAGAAATTTCGTGGGATAAAACAACACCAATTTCTGCATCATTGGCTACATTTAATAGTCCTGAATAAACAATAATCATGCCATTTGGCAAAACCATAGCATTTACTCTTGGATCATTAACGACTATTAAAAACCAATTACGATCTTTGACATGATCATAAGCTGTATTTGCATTAATTATTTGCATCGCTATCGACAATGTTCGCTTGTAGTAATAATGTGATGGTGGAAATACTGCGTTTTTATTTTCCTTTAATAAATCGTTAGCAATTGAATTGGCAAGTTCCACCATTTGGTGTCGTGAAAATAGTATTAATTGACGTTTTCCAGTAATTGGGTCTATTTCTGTGTGAGCAGCAATATATAGTACAATCAAACCAATAAAACCAGCTGTAGCAGCAGATATTTGTTTACGACGTTTATGTACATTATTCCAAAATTTAAGTTTCTCCTCTTCACTCAGTTTTGACCACCACCGACGTATACGTATTCCCATCACCATGGCTAAAAACTTGGCGACTGGGCGCAGTACCAAAGATACAAATGCCGGAAATGGTAGACTGTTGACCGGTGAAACTCTAAAGAAAATAAAAACCTTTCAGATTATATAAACCTACAATAAAAACTTCTATTCAGAATTGGATTTAAAATCTAATTACCCAACAACTGAATGAAAACTTAACTATACATTTTTAAATATGAACACAAAATTTATATTCCTTTATTGTGTGTCAAATATACGTGCATTATCCTTAATAATGCTAATACACCTTACGATTATGTTAAAGATCGCAATCGGCTTAAAGTTTTTTAACGATCTTACTGTAATTTCCTCGGATCATTTAATTACCATCGCTGCTTATACTTAAGTATAATGAAAAAAGCATCAATAAAGCAATAAACAAAGCAGACGAACATACCTAAAATACTTTTTGCATTCCAGCCGGTGTCCATTCTTGATAACTATATTAGATTGGTATGAATTGACAAGCGTTTGATGTGTGTATAGCAATGATTTGTATTTTCTGTCCGGAAATCGTAAGCTGAGAGTCCGGGGAGAGCACAGCTTACACAGTCCATTACGAAACATTTCTGCCAAAGGTAATACGACGGATCTTAACTTTTCTGACGATTACATTTTATAAGACACGAACATGATAATTCCTACGTACTTACGAATAATTCGCCTAAAAGTGCCAGTGGCGTATTAAAAAGTAAAATGTAAATATGTTAGATATGTCCTAAAAACGTACAATTACCTATAATATTATGCAATTGGCGGAACAATATAATAAATAATCAACAAACAAACGCCGTTAAGATAAGAATAATATGATAACATTGATAATTAGTAAAAACTGATTTTTTTTTTTTTGTTAACACAAGCTCAGTAAAAAGGCTAAAAAAATAATAGACATTATCCTCGTGTTATGTATTAAACTATAAAATATAAATGATAAATATTATTATTGTTAAATTGGTTTTTATTCATAGTATTTTTTTCTTTCTTTGATGGAACGTCTGAGACGTAGTCACAGCTATGGGTTTATGATGGATTACAATCCGCAACCTTGGAAATATCACCAGCCCTTACTACTAATACATATTAAAATTTTGTAAATTTATAAACTGAAACGTCTGCATTTTAAATCATGTACCTCAGTAAGTGTAGTTGGTGCGCGTTGGTATTATTGACGGTGATTCAATTTGAGTGTTCTAAATGCGATAATAAAGAGGTTAATTCGTTCAATGAAGAAGACATCGGTAGTTCCATACTCGATACATTGCCCAGGTAATATAAGAGAACTTGCGTAATAATATTATTGTTATAGCCGTTTTGATATCTAGAGAAAAATGTGAAAAACGATACTACGGCCTTACGCTACAGTGATCCATAGTTGTATACATTATAAGAAATTTTGAAATTAAAATGCCTTTTACAAAAAAACTACTGTTTGGATATGAATATATGGTACATTACAAATTTTTAGAATAATATATTTTACAAATTTACTATTTTGAAAATTTTAAAAAATAAAATTATTTTTTTCACTGATTAAAGGATTAAAATAAAAATGTAATTATTTCTGCAGTTGTAACTCCCTTATACAAAACCAGATTGAAAAAAAAATTTGATATTGACAGAATTATTAGCATTTGGATAATAACTGTAGCACACTCTGTGTAATACTTTGTACACTTTGTTTTCATCATCATTTATGTATCTGATTTACTTACCTTAATATGATGCTAAATTAATTCTTTAAACGTTGGACTTACTTTAATAAAGTTATGGATTAAATACTCGTGCAGTTCAAAACAAATACAATTATAAAATTGTATACACTCACAAACATTAAAGTGTGATTGTGCCTACTGAGTAGGTAAATATTTAAAAAAAACATTCCTATTAATTATTATCAAATGCAATTCTTAAAGACTTGTTTTGAATAATAAATTATTAATGTACTTCCTGAAATAATGAGATATAGTAATATATGTTCTTGTATGATTTTAAAATTGAATTGAATTTTTAGTGGGAATAAAATAAAATATTTTATGACAAACGCCTATCAATTTTTTTAACTTTTGTATCATTTTACTGTAACATTAGAAACACAAAAGAAAAGTTGAAGTTCTCCCTAGTACCTATGTAACTTTAATTTGCCGCATAACATATCTGAATATTTGAACACATAAACATAAGTTATTATACTTAACAATAATATTCATTAAATAAGACTTAAATTATGATGTTGAAGATTTTGTCCAAATTTTAATGATATGTGTCTAATTTTTTATCATTTTGCAACCATTTAATATTACTTATTATTTAATAGATATGTAAGGTTGATTTTTAATATCTGTATCAAGGTGGATTTACCTTAATTTGTATGATATAATAAAAGTTGATATTTGTTTATGTTTAATACTATGATATTAAAATTAAAATAACAGATAGTATCATAGTCTCAAATCATATACTGATATATTATAATAATCCATGATCACATGATCACATGATCATAGTAGGTGCTAGCAAAGCGGCAAAGTATAAAATAAAATAAATAATTTATTTAACAAAATATAAAGAAAGTTTATATACATATGGCATTCTAAAAAGTTATAATTATTAAATGATTATTTTAAATGTTTATTTTATAATAGTATTATTAAGCGTATTCATGTATTATATTTATAAATATGATCAACTTAGTTATTATTATTATTATTAGTGTAAAAAATTGTACTTAATTTTTTTAGATATGTATTGTATGACATCAACAAGCCAGAAGGATTTAATCTACGCCGTGATGTATACATACGAATGGCATCTTTTATACACCACATGAATAAGATATCCAATTATCATTGGATTTTGGTAATTTATTTTGTTTATTTCATTTTTAATATAATATATTATAATGTAACTATGCTTAAAAGTTATTTTAAGTATTTTTGTTTTTTAGGTATTGCCACCATGGCATCGTTTGTATCACTGGAGATCATCTAATCTTATACAAGACCATCTTCCTTGGAGCCTATTTTTTAATGTTGATTCCATTCAAAAAGTCACACCAGTGGTTGAATTACATGAGTTTTTTAAAAGTATGTTAGGTTTATTAATTTTTGAATTTTTTTTTTTAGTTTTCTTAACTAACTATTAAAATTCTGCTGAGTATTCTAATATTTGCTTGATCTATAAAATTATTTTTGTAATGAATTGTCGACTACTAGAAAATAGTATTATTAATATAAATATTATCATAAAAATAATCGCCCGGATATAAGTCGGGAAAAATCGCAAGAAATTGCTCCTGTTTAATTTTAGACAAACATTCGCTGCTGTTGGCTAAAATAAACACATTTTTTTAACTGACTTTATTCACACGGCTTGATAACTGACACAAATGTTTCGTAAAAGTATGTGTAGAATGAATGAACACTTCATATATTCACGATGTCTGCATGACTAAATGTAAAATAAAAGATCAATTGTTTGATTTGAAAATTGATGAGGAATAATGTTCGCAGGTCATTAGTTTCGAGTAATTAATTGTCGAATGTGAAACCTAAATTAAATTAGCGATTAAAAACCACTGCGATTTTAAATCACGTTTCGCTCTGTGAACATTCTCTTCGTATGAAACAACCATAAATGTCTGATATCTATATTTAAGTTATAGGTTGAAATAGAGTTCAATATTAAAAATCAGTATCTAAATAAATAATAAATAGGTATCACTAATAACATATGCATACATACATACACCCATTATTTATAAAACATTTAATTTTTTACTTTTTGACTAACTTAACTACTATCATTAATATCTAACAATATACTTATTAATACAAAAATATTGTATACAATAGTTAATGGATTAAGGTCATTGGATGCACAAGTTACATTACAAGATTTCAATTTAAATTCATTTGAAGAATATCCAGACTTTTCTGATAAATGGGAAGTATCTGACTGCAAAGGTCATGTACAAACAGAATTTTGGAACTTGAGTAATTTAACATTCTCCAAATCTTTATGCATTTCATTTCAAGGAATTTCTACTCTTTTATCTGACATTGTAAAAGAGTTACAACCAAGGTAATAGATCAACTACTTTTTATGCATAATAAATGATTAATTAAAAACTATTTAATAATCATTAGAACTATAATATTTGATCATGCTGAAATGGCATTGCATAATTATTATGGTGGACAAGAGTATTGGGCAGTGAGGAAAAGTATGCAATTTAGTGATAACTTGCATGAAATCGCTAAAACATTTATAAATTCATTTTTGAAACATAATTATATGTGTGCTCATGTGCGTCGTAGAGATTTTTTGTACGGTCATCCAAGTGATGTACCCAGTATTAAGGAGACAGCCAGACAAATAATAGAAAAATTAAGTTTATTGAACAAGGTTGAAACAGTTTTTATAGCCTCAGATGCTCCAAAAGTAGGCAAGTATTATTATTTTATATTTTATACTATTATGTTTAATTAATATAATATATTATTTTAGAGTTTGAAAAACTTTGTGATTATTTACGACCATATAACGTGTTTAAATTTGAAGCTAACAAGGACATTTTAAACACTTACATGGATGGAGGGGTTGCTATTATTGATCAAATAATATGTTCTAAAGCAAAGTGAGATTTTTCTTTTGTTGTTTTATTCTTAACAATTAAAATCATATGTTTAAAATGATCTAACTTTTAGCTATTTTATTGGTACATCCAAATCAACATTTTCATTTAGAATTCAAGAAGAAAGAGAAATTCTTGGCTTCTCCTCGAATACTACATTCAATAGTTTTTGCGGTGACAATGACAGAATGTGCACACAACCTACAAAGTGGAGACTTGTTGAATAATGATAATTATGTTGGTATCTTATAGTGTTTCACAGTATTTATTTGTATTTTCTATTGTTTTGTCATATTTCAGTTTGTTTTCCAGCTCTTTATCAAAGTTTGTCATAAACATTCCAGTGGTAAAAAACTCCATGTTCAGTAACTGTGCAGCATTCATGCGGTCTACCGGGTTTAATTGTAAACAGTGTGCCACTATTTTTAGCAGATCTGTTGGCCACTCAGGGTATACCCTTCGAAGTGCTAAGGCAGTATTAGAAATTGTATAAGATTTACATAAAGGTTGTTCCTGTTGATTTTCTATGCTCAGCTCAATGCCGCGATTGTGCAAGTATTCATTGATAACTATTGAGTTATGGTCCTTGCATCCCAGTATTTCAATAATGCCATACAACTGGTAATCAATAGTTTCTTCGGTGACCAAGGGCCATCTGTTGACTAATTCCGTAAACAAAATGCCTGTAATAATTTGAAGTGTGAGAATGTTACTTATATAGTATTTTACTCTTAGAACATACCAACCGACCAAATGTCTACCATAGTATCGTAGATTTTTAGTTCCATCAACATTTCTGGAGCCTGGTACCATAGAGTTCCTACTTCAGTACTCATGTCTAATGACCCACTCGAGCAAAACATACGAGATGCACCAAAATCACAGATCTTGATAATTCCAGCAACAGTTAACAAAAGATTTTCTGGCTTAATGTCACGGTGTATGACATTATGACTATGCACGTAGCTTAGTCCTTTTAATACCTGTCAAAAAACAAATAATTTGGTGGTCAACTATTTTCGAGCTAAGTTTCTACGTACTTGGTATATGCATTCTTTAGTGTGATCCATAGTCAGTGCTCCACCATTATTTTCCAAGTATGTGTACAGATTACACTGCATGAACGGAAACACCATGTAAATGTAACCAGAGACCCGGATAACATCGATTATTTCAACTACATGATCATTTCTTAGCAACCGCAAAAGATTAATTTCACGTACGATCATTTCAGAGTAATAATGGCCACTTTGAAGTGGGTTTCGTAATCTTTTCATTGCTACCATCAATCCAGTCGATTCATTCAGACACTTGGCTACTGTACCATAAGTACCTTCGCCCACTGTACCCAAGACTATGTACTTGTCCATATATTTTTAAAACAATTTTTGAAGCTATCCAAATTGACTAAATATTTTTTTTAAAATAACTTTCTTAATTTCACTATGGTTACACTTTTGATGATTATCTTATATGAGTAGACATTCGTAAATAAACTGTTTTAACACACTTCTAATTATAATAACTGTTTATTTGTGGTATAACCATTATGACTTAACAGTATTAGATCAAAATAATTTTCTATTTTTTTTTTCAATTTATAATATTAAGACATTATTTAGACATTTTTATACCCATATCATTACTTTCAAATTTGAAAGACCTTGTTTAACTATATACATATATTTAAAGTTTGACATTTGTTCAAACAAATTTATTGATCATCTTTAACTTAATAAGGGATTAGTTTTGTATGGAAAAAATATTTGAGCATTGGTATGAAAACAACTTGTTCCTAGGATAAAATAATATTTTAACTTTTTTTTTATTATTTATTTAATATTTTATTGAGAGTTAGCATTATATTAATTACTAGGTATTTAAAAACTTTTGTTTTATTTTTTCATGGTCTCAGATTGAAACTGATTCTAAGTTTTGATAAATGAGCGGAAAATCATTTTGTCACATAAAAATTATATAGGTTCAATTTGTATCTATTTTTAAAATATTTTATTATTATATAAACACTATGGTTACTCCTTCATTTCAAATATCCAAAACAAAAATATCTTCACACTACTGATTTATTTATTTTTCATCGTTCTTTATAATAATATTGTAAACAGTAAATTTTGTAATTTGCTGGTTTATATGAAATTGAAAATGTTTTGAGTGTAATGAATTGTTGGGCAGAGTGATTAATTTTATGTATCTGTAATTTTTTTTATTAATGTGTACCTATCATTAGATATATTATATTTAGATTAAGTTCAAAAATAGCAATGAAAATCATTCGAGATATTTGTACACTGAATGATTTTTTGTAGAATTCACTTAGAAGATTAAAAGGAGTGTAATAAAAATCAAACTTATATTTTACTTTAATAAAAAAAATCTATATTTGTAATTATTTATTTTGCATTTTGTATATATCTTTTAAAGTGTCTCAGTTAACACCTGAGAAAAGTCCTATCAGTATAAATGTAAACATTTTTTAGGTGACTTATTTTTTGTTGTATCACCAAGTAAGCTGTAGTTTTATTTTTTTGTGAAATTAAAAAGTTTAAAACGATCGGAAAATGATAACACTCAGATTCTACCTAATACCACCCTTGAACTAAAATATAATTTTTTAAATGTTTTGATATACAGGGGCAAATTGTTCTGAACCCTGGAAGTATGAATCAACTGACCCGCCAACATGAATCATAGCCACAATAGAAATAAAATTTAAAATTTCAACATTTTATTGTTATCAATTATTAGAAAGAAGTTTTCTATAAACTACATTTTAGACTGTAAAAATCAAAAGGACCAGGTTAAATTATAAATTTATTTATATTTTATTTATCCAATTTTTTTAAACATACTAATGCTTAAAATCAAGTGAGGATAAGTGCGTATTTGCACCGGGCATAACTTTTAAATAGCTGAAAAGATTTCCAAGTATATCTTAATTCAAACGTTATTTTATCATTCTAGTGTCATAGATATAATATAATGGTTGTCTCCATGATGCTATTAAACCTTTTCAACAAAATACATTTTAAAATATAAAATTATAATAATGAAATTAAATAACCTCTTACTACTACTGTGTACACATTTATGAGGGCCAATGAATTGTTAATTTTTTTTATCATAGCATATTTTCTGTGATAAATATGTTTCATCAAATGCCAGTACAGTTATTAGTTCTAAATCTGTCATTGGGAAAACTATAATTATAAATATTGTCATGATATTTTATTTTAGAATTAAAATGCTTGTTTTGTGTACTCATGTTTCATTATGGATAAGACTAAAGATAAAATCCCTTAGTGCATAGGGAATTTTGTCGACCATCCTCTTAGTGTTGAATATCCTTAATTAATAAACATTTCCAAAAAATCAATAATTAGCTTAGTACTTAAAAAATACTTGGCAATGGATATTTTTTTCTTCTCTGAGGTATCTATAGGCCTTAGGTGATAAACTTCTAAGTGTTGTAGCAATGGTTATATCATTTTCTGTTCAACTATATATTTTTTTGTTGGGATATAAAAGTAATTTTATTTGGGTTTCGGTAAATATTCCTGACAATATTTTATTAAATTAAATTAAATTTTTTATTTTAATTTATTATTTGGTATGGAATTAATAATGGCTTTCTGTAATTTGATGGTATTTTGTAATTCTAAATTTAATTCTTTTCTTTTTTTAATTTTGAGTGTAGATCCAATAAATGTTGTTTAAGAATATTTAAATAAAATGTAAAAATAATTATATATTCATATATAAATTGAATTACACGCTAATTATTTGTATTTTTATCATATTTCTCGACTTCATTCTAGTGATCACCACACTATGTACAAACATCAGCTCTTTCTACTGAAAGTCTAGAATACACCATACCTATTTTACACTGAATACCAACATCTTGTGTTTCACTTAATAATTGTACTTCAAAATCAGATAGGTCATTTAAACAATTATGTTTATTATTTGAAGTTAATGGATCAATGTTTTCTATAGGTGCTTTAGAACTTTGAAAACTATATTGTAATAAATTATCCTGTGAAGAGTTTGATGTATTTACAGACTCACATTTAATTGTTGGTTTTTTAATTCTGGACTGGAATAAAATGATTTAGAAAAGTTTTAATTGATTTTTTTTTTTATGTTGAAAAATAATAACCAACCAAATTTTTTGATGAAACAGCATTGGGATTAAGTTTTCGTTGATGTTTAGGAGAATATTCTACATGATTGGATCAACAGTTTTTCATAATTAGACGAACAAAATGTAATGAGCATACCCGTGCTATAACATTTACGTACATTTTAGGTAAATTAAAATATGCTTAAATAACAAATTAATCTATAGTTATCGATTACTATGTAGCCATGTAGGCGTATAATATATAACCATATATAAATGTTATATATACACGACAATCCATAGTTTACTAACTAAAAGAAATTTTAACTTTTTCAGATATAACACCAAGTTCAATTCACAATTTTTGTAGATATTGTTCCTTAGGAAAACGATGAAGGATTGGTTTCATTTCTGCAATTTTTGATGTACGACTGCCACTCGTACAATTTTTTACTACGCACACAGGCATTCTAAAAAATACAAATAATAAAAACAAAATCACATAATTTCAAAACGTCAGTGTTCATTTATTTATAACAAACAATGATTATACCATGACCAAATAACATTTGTTTAGCCATGGACTATACAATGTTCCTTAGTTCCATTAATCTATATTATGAATTATAATTACTCAACATATATAGCAGTGATAATATAATATATTTATAGAAAATGTTTAATTCAATGCTAAATATTAAATAAATATTATCATATAATAAAAATTCTCGCCAAATAGTATTTCAAATTGTAGGACCGGCTGACGTCATTTTTCAAGTGATAACTGAATATCGGAGTTACTGTCATGCCATGTTATTTAGCCATGGTCGGTACTATATTATCTATTTATTACCGCGTCTATGTCTTCTGATAGTGTTAAAATTATAAGTGATAAGAAAAACACCAAAATAATTTTTGTAAAATTACAAAATAAGCGTTTAAGAATAATTATAATATTAATTTAATTACATCTACACATTTTAGGTGCTTATACTAAAAAAAATTCATGGTATTTAATTGCATAGATACCGTAAATGATGCCCTTGAATTATTTGCATTTTTATAAATTTGAACATACTTATATTTGAACTTAAAAACACTGATAACCATTTCAAATACCTAGCAATTAATTATTTAAAAACTTTAGAATGTTGAGGATAGACGTAAATAAAGAATGGTTTGAGTGACCTTAGACCCTCAAAACTCATCCAAGCCCTCCTTAAATCAAGTCTTTATCAAGTAAATATTAAGTAGATACCTATACATTAGAATCCCAGAAAAAATAACAAGAAATAAAAGAACAACAGAAAAAAGATCAACAATTTTAAATATAATAATGGATTGTTACAAAAAAAAATAATACATATTATATCATATTATAATTTTATTTACTTACATCCACATGAACACATACTTCGCACGATGGGTGGACCCCTGTTATAGATGAGAAGTTGGGAAGGTAGGATATAGAGGGAAATTATTAATGTATATCTGTAAGTAAAAATAAATAAAAAAAATTAAATAAAGTTAAATAGATGCTTATATATAATAGATATTATTTTTTTTCCACCAAAAATTTTGGTTCGAACAAAAACGATAAAATAATTCGTTTGTAACATAAGGATCTATTTGATGCAATGGGGTGTTCATTTGTTTGGTATTCCAAAAATTAAAATGCAACATAAATTGGAGTTTTTGTTATTTTCGATTTTGATTTTTCGTTTTAATTTGGTTTAAACCAACTGTAAATATCTGTAATTTCCACAGAACACTTATTACCTATGTTGGTATTTTCTAGACGCGGTATAACATTGTTACCATTTTTGAGCTATTTTTGGCATTTGAAATTTTAGACTTTTTTTTTAACTTTTAATTGGGGGTTGGAACTTATAATAAAACTAAATTATAGTGAAACTGACTGTTGTGTAGTTCGGAGTGTTGGTCGGTAGACAGAAAAATAGTGAATGAATGTAGCAGAGATGAGAACGCTTAGGTGGATGAGTGGAGTGACGATAGAAGATAGGATAAGGAATGAGTACATACGAGGTAGCTTAGGCGTGGCTTCGATAGTAGATAAAAGGAGAAGAAATAAACTGAGATGTTGTGGGCATGTCATGAGGAGAGAGGAATCTGAAGCAGTTATAATTGTAATGAAAACAAACGTAATAGGAAAGAGGGGCAGAGGAAGACCGAAAAAGAAGTGGTTGCGTGTGATTGAGAACGATACGAGGACATCCGGTGTATGTGAGATAGGAGATCGGGTCAAGTTGAAGTTTAAAACGAGCCTGGCCCGACCCCAAACAGTTGAGATGAGTGCGAAGGAGGAGGAGAAAAAGTGATATTTTTTAGTTGAACTGAAATATATGTAAACAGTAAACATTGTAATATTAATACAGCATTTAAAATACCAATACAATACTAGGTACATATAACATGAAAAATGTATGAACAAAGTTGATGGATGTGAGTTAAAATCAATATAGTGAATATTGAATAATAATATATTTCATAGACAAATAAATATGTACATATGTTGGTCGTTTTATAGTTTTATACGTAGGTATAATAAATAAAACGTTTTATAGACGTCTAGTTATTACTAACTGTGGTTTTATTTGGCATTACGAGAATAGAATTTATTTGGTTCAGCTAAAATTCTCAAAAATTTAATACGAGGTTTAACATAAGTTTTACTTATAGTGGTTTAAAAAAAATGACTGTAATATAGTTATTTTACAATCTGTCCGCAAAGAATAATAATATTATGTGGACAATAATAACCGCAGTAGGTATAACAACCAATAGAAGTATACCTATACGGGCACACTCGAATTTCTTGAGTCATCTTCAGTACATTTTTTCAAAAAAAGGTTACTCGGATTGTCTCCCAATTTAAAATTAACTGTTAACTCGAATTGCCTGCCACGTCAAATTGTCTATTTGAATTGGCTCCGGTGAAATGCCAGATTAATCGATATCAATAGGTAATAATTACTAAGTTAAATATTATATACTCAAAAAAATCATATTTATTATATTATTCCGAATTTAATACTAGAAAGATATAATGTTATACCAGGTGATTTATTTAAGTGGGTACACACATTATCTCAGAAAGTATTAATTTTTTTCGAATAGGTTAGGTTAGGTTTTCAAAAACATTCATGAAATAAGAAGTTCTATAATTTTATATTTATGTTAATTTTTGTCACCCTTATTTTTGGGGGTAAAACCACTACCTACTTTGATTTTCAAATGGCAACTTATATGAAAAAGTCCATAAATAAAAGGAGTATTATTTAAAATAAATTTTAGTGTTGACATTTTTGATTTCTGTAAAGTCGTTTACGAGTTATTCCACTTTTAAGTTTGGGTTGGAGGAAAATAGTGGAGTATCATTTGTGTGGCGGTACGGCGCGTTGCATGTTAATAATGCACCACTACTTTCCTCCAATCAAAACTTAAAAGTGGAATATCTTGTCAACGAATTGACAGAAATCAAAAATGTCAACACTTAAATTTATTTTAAATAATACTCTTTCTATTTATGGACTTTTTAATATAGGTTGCCATTTGAAAATTATAGTACCTATAATAAATTACTTTTATACGGAGTGTTTTTTCAAAGGAATTTGATAATTTTACATTGAAATATGTCAAATCCTCGTGATACATCATGCATATATGCTTTAGTATACCTTTATTATATTTTTTTTTTCTTTTGGAAGTCATCTACCAAACAAAAATTAAATTTCGCAAAAGTGTAGTCAGAGGGGTTTGGAGATGTTGTAACCCCTCCCTCTATTGCTTTTTTTAATCTATATGTAGGTTATACATTAAGGTTTATAAGGCTGTAGTTAGTAGACTCCTAAATCCTCTTAGATCCCCTCAACCGTCCCCTCCATTGATAAATCCTGGTTATGCCACCGAATTTATGGCTGAATTCATAACAAAAAGGTTGAGGAATACTGGCTTAGATTATGATGGATTTTAATGGGCCCCGCGGTTTATTACTATATAGGTATGTAGGTACAATCATTAGATATACTAAAGCAGTGGTGACAAATTACGGCTCGCGGGCCACCTAAATATTATTAAATCAAAATTTAAAAAAATAATAACTTCAAGTTTCAAAAATTAACACGTACATTAAAAAAAAAGACATGTTTATACTAATAAACTTTTTTTTCATTTATAACATATTAAATAATTAAATATATCATTGTATCTTTATTAAGATGTATCTACAATAAAATATAATATTGGCCCACCAAGAACTATTTTTATATTCTATGGCTCTCTGTAAAAAATTTTTGGTCACCACAGTACTAAAGCATTGTCCAGGGTTCCGTAAAACCTAGCGCAGCCACTGATAAGAACAAACGAATTCGGTAAGACGTTCAGCCGTACCGTTTACCTTTTCATTGTTCATTAGTTCGTATAGTTCCTTATACTTATACTTAGTAGAGAGTTTTTATTTATCGTTCGCTCCTTTAACGGTCTTTAAGCATTCGAGTTCGGCCATTTACATTAGCCGACCATACACGAGCGGATTTTTTGACGAATTATGTCCGACGAACTAAATCCATAGGTCCTCAGTGAATCTAATCCGCTACATTGCCCACTAACGTAAAAATAAATTCCCTTTAATAACAACGAATCGGATCTTTCAAAGGACCAAGTCCGTTCATATATAAAGTCAAATTCCCATCGTTTTAAAAGGATTTGATCCGTAAGACTAAATCTCCCGATATTTTAGCAAGTCTTAAAAGTTCACGGAAATGTAATATTGTACATTTGTACATGGTTAGGTACCTATTTATTTTTATCAATTTAGCATGTAATTATAACGATTTTCGTATATTATATTATTATATACATTATATATTACACATTGGTACGACCGTTTTTTTTTTAATTTTCGCATTTTTGTAAGTATAGGTATAATAAAGCGTAACGCAATTATTATTTTCGTTAAATAGGCGAATCACCGTGAATTTTTTTTAAAAAATATAGGTACCGGATTTGCAAAAAAATAAATAAGAAAAATAATAGGTACTTATATTTATGTTGAAAAAAAAATTATTACCACTCTATTGGGTTCATCGTTGCATATAATTTTATTTCGAAGCGAAAAATAGGTCAAAATAGATTGAAAATTGGATTGCCAACAGAAATATATCTGATCATACCTACTTATCATACTCCATAAATTGAGTGCCTACGAATCAAAAAACCGTTAAATTCGCTAAGGTTAGACTTGCTCCACTCCATTATAATAAAATCAACTTGAAAAAAAATAAATTACCAATATAGGTATAAAAAATTAATAACAGTAGCAAAACAATTTCAAAAAAAAAGAGCTGATATTGGGGATGGAAGTGGCCACTGTTGTAGGTGGGAAGTTGGAGAGATAGGATAAATAAGGTTATTTCATTTATATCTGTAGGTAACGGTTAAACCATTTCTGATGAAAGACGATTCCGAGCGCAGTTCGGTAATACATAATTTGAAGTGTCGTAATTTTTTTTGCCATTTTCGTTTACATTTGATTTCAAAATGTTTATTAAAAAAAATATTCAATAAAAATATGTTCTTTTGTCGTTTTTTAATTGGAGCCATGTTGTGCTAGAAAATTGGTAGGTACTTATTTAAAATAACGAAATCGTAAAAAAAATCGTAATTTTTTCCTCGGTTAATCGTTTTTATTTTAAATATTGTTTAGAAAATCAAAAAATGACTTATGTGTTTACCAAGTAGATAAAATTGACTTTCAGAAAAGGTACTATTTTTGTACATCTGAACAAGTTTTCTAGGATAAAAGTTGTCTACAGTATGTATTAGGATGGTCCTTAGACTATAGATGAAGACAATTTTTTTTCGATTTTTGATTGGGCTACCACTGAAATTTGTTCAAACCCACAAAAAAATGTATTTTGTAAAGTTTCGTAATAATCGGTAAACCTTAAGGCGTACCTCAAGAGGGTTGAAGTTCATATAAGGGTGATTATTAGATTTTTGTAATTTTAGTCTAAAATTTTTAAGACAGACTAAAAAGTGTAAGTACAATATATTTTTTAAATTGTTTATCCTACAAAAAATGTTATTTGTACATTTTTCATTTAACAGCTCATTCAGCTACAAAATAACAAAAACTAATTTTTAGTATATTTTACATGGTAATAGCTTGTACAATATAATATACTTTGTACTAAGAAAATTTACAACATAACTGCATAAACAACTTTATAGTAGCTATTAAATAGTCCACTAATAACATGGTTAAAACGCATGCTTCATACAAATGGAAAGCTGTGCAATATTAACTATACANCTAGGTCCTGTGACAACACGTAGTCTTCAAATGTTAAACATGTCTTTACAGGTTTATTATTCACTCGGTTTTAGACGTATTATTTATTGTTTATATTAATTCGAACATTGTCGTCACAGCTCAGTTTATAATTGTCCACACACCATCGACGAACAGACTTTTTGATTTTAAAAATGGACAGTAAAATCAATATACGTAAACGTATTTATTTAATTGGTACTAGTTCTCATCAACTGGTTGGATGCAAGTTACCATCAAACAAACAAGTTTTATCGGTCCTATTTTTTAATATTCGAGAAGTCAAGTTAAGTTTACGTGAAAGTGCGCGGTTAGTGATTGACGTAACGTTAATATTTTGGCAAAAAGCCCGAATACCTACTAGGGAAGTTTATAATTGTGTACAAATGTTGGAAGAGTTGTACAATACATGCCGAAGTTTGCAGAAAAATTCAAGTCGGAGAACAAATACTCAAATTAAAAATGAAAATGAATTTGTACAATGTTTTGACGAACTATTCGACATTGCCCATGCAGATGCATTGGATATAATAACTATTGACATAGACAAACAGTTTTTAATTACTCAGAGGCAAAAAGGTCGTCCAGGAGTGATGATGGGCGTCGATTGGATAAGTCAAAAAAGATAATTTAAACGATCTAAACAATTAGAAGAATCTGAAAAAAAAGAAAACTTAATGAAAACAAAATAAAATCTATCTGTAAGTATTTCGTATTTTGTGTTTTTATAGTTTGTCGTATAATAAGTNAATTTAAAAAATATTTTATTCTTATACTTTTTTGCCTATCTTAATTATTTTAGACTAAAATTATAAAAATCGGAAAATCACCCTCCATTGAACTTCAACCCTTTTGAGTTACGGCGTGAAATTCCTTAAATACTCAAAATTTTTGGCAATGATACCGTAAGAAGGTAAATCAAAAAGGCAACAAAAAAGGTATCTTGTGATTTTTCGATTAAATCATTTTTTCTGGTAGAAAACGTCG